TTTGTAACCGAAGTTTGTATTAAATGGTCTCATATCTCTCTTTTTTTTTTTAAACGACTACTTAACATACACATGTACTAAAATAATAAATAAGCCATTACGAGGCATAAAAAATCAGTTTTTCCAAATATATAATACATATACTCTATCATGTAATATAAATAAAATAAATGATTATAAATAAATATATGTATTTGTAGTAATTTGTTTAAATAAAATATTACTCCCTCAGTCTCGACTAATTTGTCCCATTTAAATTAGGTACAGAGTTCTAGGTATGGTGTAATTAGTGAATAATTAAGAAGTATATTAGTAAAAATATTATAATTTAATAAAAATTATTTTATATTAAGATTAAGATTATTAAATTATTTAATTAAAATAAAAAAAATTATAAGTTATGAATTTTAAAATGTGATTAAAGTGTATAATTGTATTTCCAAAAAAAGAAATAACAAATTAAGTGAGACAGACAGAGATAGAAATAGTGGACAAATTAAGTGGGACGAAGAATAATATATTTTTATAGAACTAATAAAATATAATTTAAATATAGATATATACAATACATATAATATTTTTTTTTAAAAAAAAAAGTATGATTATTTTGTTGGGTGGGAAAGTATAATGATAAAATGTGGAATGCAGTGGAAATGATATTTTAAAGTAACAGCGCTATTCCATTACTAAAAAGACAAATTTATTTGTAGGATTTTAAAATTCCATTTATTTTAAATTCTATTATATATTTTGTAACCAAACATAAATTTATAGAATTTTAACATTCAAATTTATAAACCAAACAGCCCCTAAAATAAAAATTGTAATATTTCATTTTTGGATCGATAAAAACAGCAAAAACGTATATCGTAGTTTTTAGAATTTAAATTTGAAATAAATTTTAGGCCACATTTAGTTGGAGAAATAAGGATATGAGGATTCATTTTTAATAAATAAATTTGAATTACATTTTATATTATGTTATTTCAAATAATTTTAACGATCAAAAGAAAATTTTAATATTTTATTATGAGTGATTTTATCTTATACTCTCTATATTCCACTTATGGTGTTCATTTCGTTTGTCTTACTTATTATGTCACTTTCTTTTTATGGAAAAAAATTATACAGTTTAATCACGTATTAAAATTTTTAATTTCTTAATTTTAATTAGACTATTTAGTTATCTTAATTTTAATTTAATATTATTTTTACGATAATTATTTTCACTAATATATTTTGAATTATTTACTAATTATACTCTTTATAAATTTTCGTATCTACAGTAAATATGATACGATCGCCCGGACAGAGGGAATATTATTCAATCTTCGTAATTTTCCAAACAAAATAATACAATTTTCTCATGAAATATTTAGTCAAAATATTAATTTAAACTAAAAATCAGTATCAATATAAATAAATAAATAAATAAATAAATAGTCACCAAAATAAGACACCCAAACTGTTTGTTAAAGATGGTCTGAATATGCCAAAATTTGGAGTTTGATTGAATTCCATAAATATACCTAATTGTGTAATTCTAATTTGACATTAACCATACAGCCTCAATACTGATCAACTCTAATTATTTAAACAATCGATTTAGAAAAAAGTAAATTTAAATTTAAATGAAAATAAAATAAAATAAAATAAAATATTCTTCTCAAATTAAAGACACACACATGGACATTTTTGTTGAAAATTTCACAATAAAATACTCCTTCCCTCCCAATCAAGGTACAACATTTATTTTTGGCACGGATTTTTAGGTGGATAGTATTAAGTATAATAATTTAGAAATTAGGTGATGTGATGGAGAGAGAAATATATATTTTATTTTTTTATTTGGATGATGTGAGGGGGATAAAGTGTGGGGTAGAGATCAAGTATAATTAATTATTTCCTATTTTGTAAATGTTGCGGTGTGCTTGGGACATATCAAAAATGAAATATTGCACAGTGTTTGGGACGGAGGGAGTATTATGTTGGATTTTTTGTTTTGATTAGATCAGTTTGAAATTTTGATTTGAAAATTAATTTAATTTAATAGTAGTGTTTTTTAGAAAAAAAAAAAAAAAATTACCGGCTACTTTTTTATTTTACTTTTAATAAATTATTTTATTTTTATATTAAAATACTCCATTCGTCCCCAATTAAATGGGCTCTTGAAGTTTTGCAGTTATTAAAAAATAACAGTAGTATTTTATTAGTCAGTAAAAGTGTGTAAGAATTTTTTATTTTTTTGTGTTTTGATTTTATATACTTCTTTCGTCCCATAAGTAAATATTCATTTGATTTTTGTACGTAGTTTTAGAAATATTAGTATTATATTGAGATATAATAGGAATAAAGTAGAAATGACTAAAATAACTTTATTAGTATGTGTGATATAAAGGTAATGTCATTTGTGTAATATATTGTAAGTTGTAAGGGTATTTGCAATGTTAATTAGATTGTACAATTATTAAAAAAAAATGAATATTTTGCTATGGGACGAACTAAAATGAAAAAATAGATACTTTGTTATGGGACGGAGGGAATATATAAAGTAATTATACGTGTAATAGTGAGTTTGTAATTATGATTAAATTAATATTCCTATACAAAGTCGAATAAATGAATATATATATATGTTTTATATGTGCATGTTTTTTGTAATAGTTAGGGTATAAATTAAGTGCACGTGGTAAATTTTTTAAATTAAATGTTGGTTATTATGAAAGTGAATATTTTCTTTTAATGCCCTTGACCATGCTACAATTAAATTTTAAATATTTAAATGTGTTACTAAACCATATTTTCTATTTATTCAATCAACAATAGTCAAGATTAATGTTCCAAAAGAAATTAAAAAAAATAAAAATAAATCAAACTTCAAATTTTTAATGTAGCATTTTTTTTAAAAATTAAATGTTCAATCTTGTGTTCTCTTTAAATTTGTTTGCTTAAAAGAATTATTAATGATACAACTTTTATAAATATCTATAAAAAATGAACTTACATTTATTTAATATTAAATAATAATAATTTTTTATTTGGGATAATCATGTTATTATGGTTATATATGGAGATTAAAATAATTATATTTTGATTTAAAATAGGATAAATAAAAAATAAAATAAAAGTATTATAAAAAAATAACTACAAATGAATTATTTAAATTTAACGGATAATAAAAAATAATTATGACATAATTATCTCATACCAAAAAAATATTATTGAAATTAAAACACCAAACTAACGATACCTTTGGAAACTTTGGCTGTGTTTATATAATACTCCATCCGTCCCATGTAATATGAGTGTATTACTGTAGACACGAGAATTTAGGTAAAGTATAATTAGTAAATAATTAAAAAATGTATTAGTAAAAATAATTATAGATTAAGATAAATAAATAGTTTAATTAAAATTTAAAAAAATTATAAAATTTAAAATTTAGAATGCGATTAAAGTGCATAATTATATTTCCAAAAATAGAAAAGACAAGTTATGTGGGACGGACGAAAATAAAAAATAAAGATAAATTATGTGGGACGGAAGGAATAGTATAATTATATTGTACACCTACGAATAAAAACAAAATGTAACAGACAATACAAAAATAATAATAAATAATAAAAAAATGTAGAAACAATACAAAATACTTTGGCCGTGTTTGTTTAGAGTTTTTTTTTTAAAGAAAAATATATATAATCTCATAATAAAATTTCTAAAAAAGTATTCAATAGAAGCATATTTTTTATTTTTATATTATAATAAAAATTAGTTTTATATATAAAAATATTATATTAAATAATTATTCTAATTTAAAAAATTTACCATCCGAAACTGGAAACCCAAATGGCCTGATCCAAACCCCTTTGGTATTGTTCACTTATATTTTTACACACTTTCTTCTTTTTTTTAATACAAAATAGTTACCTAACATATTTTTTTAATACATAAAATAAATTTTATGTCCATCAAATTTTTATTTATTTTTTCACTCTTTAATTTATAATTATTAAAATTACATTTATTTATAAAAAATGTCACAATCATTTGCATATTCAATTTAAAAAAAAAAAAATCTCACAAATCATTAACTCACTTATATAATGATTAAAATACTCATATTTTATATCTAATAAAATAATATATTATATTTATTAAAATTTATATCCAATCTATATGAACATATATTTTTCGAACATTTAAAGTATTAATTAATTGTTATTTTTTTAAAAAATAAATAAAAGTAGAAAGACAACAAGAAAACATTAAGGTGTACAAAATTAAAATTAATTCTTACTCAGGAGACAAAGTTTTTAATATATGTGTGTATATATATATATTATTTTATAAAATATTATTTTTAAAAAAATAATTCAAACTAAAATCAAAACCAAATAAACTTATGTTTAGAATGTTTTAATTTTTATAATATTTCAATAAGATATTTTTTGAATATTTTGTTTAGAAACATACTTTTTTATAAAAAAAATAAATTATATAATTGTCAAAGAAATTAAAATAAAACCAAAAACTCAATAAGAACATATACATGGTGTGTATTTTGTAAAATTGTTGAAAATAATTTTTTTTTATACGGCATATAAAAAATTGTGTAAAAGATATAAAATTAATAAAATATATAATATATTAATTTTTTTTAATAAAAAAAGTATAATATTTTTAATAAATTTTAAATATAAAATAATAAATAATAAATATTTATTTTTATTAAAATTTGTAAAAATATTTAAGGATAAAGGCAATATATATATATATTAGAAGCATCCCAGAAATACAAGTAACTATTTATTTAAAAATTAATTAGTCAAATTTTTCCGACCACGTGTCGAGATGAGATAGGTTAAATAATTCTAGGAATGTACACTCGTTACACCTGATTATAACCGCGACCCAGGTTATTCCTTGCCAGGTGTCAGTCCACGTGGCACATAATCCACGTCAGCATGCCGGGTTTCTATATAAAACCCCTTCAGTCCTCTCTGCTCGCATAAAGCCAAAAAATTACTCATTGAAGAAAGGGGAGAAAAGCAAGCGTGTGAGAAAAAAAAAAAAAATTACATAAGCACCAATTTCCGACGGTCGGCGGCGGCGGAGCCTCGCCGGAAATGAATACTCCGGTATCGGATTCCGATTCATTTCTGCACAAGTATATTGCTCTGGTTTGCTCTCATCGCCGTCACGTTTTTCACGAAAATCTATAACGGAAGGCTTTCGGATTGTTCTTCTTTTTTGTTGTTCGAGTGCGGAAGGAAGAGATGAACTTTTTTTTTCCTTGTTTTCTGTTTGTATGTAAGTGATAGCAGTGCGAGATTTCCGAATCTCTTGAATTTTTTTTGTGTGTGGAGATGAGATTGTTGGTTGATTTGTTGAATGCGTGGGGAAATTTGACCTAGTAGTTTTTGCTGCCTAGTTTGTTTGGTTGCTGGAGTTGATGTTTTGGAAAAATTTTCTTGAAGATTTTCTCGGTTTGAGTGGCTTTTAATTCAACTGGCGAAGAACAGAGACTGTAATTAGGTTTTGACAGTAGAGTTTTCTGCAGCGAAACGCTTTTTCCGATGAGAATCCAGCCGATCGATTCGATCCGAGGCGACTTTGCTAAGGCGCCGGTGTTGAAATCTCGGTTGAAGAGGCTTTTCGACCGTCCTTTCAATGGCGTTTTAAAGATTTCATCGGCGGTCGCCGGAGGAGAAAAGGATGGTTGTTCCACGGCGGCGGTGGCGGAGTTTGAGCCTACTTCGGTTTGTTTAGATAAGATGGTGCAGAATTTCATCGAAGACAACAACGAGAAACAATCCACGACAACCGTCGGCGCGGCAAAGTACGGCCGGAACCGCTGCAATTGCTTCAACGGCAACAGCAACGACAGTTCCGACGACGAATTCGACTTCTTCTCAGACTCTGTATCGGCTAATTCGTCTTTCAGCGATCCTTCCGACACGCTCAAGGTACTGAATCTCCTGATTTCGCTCATCCTTTCCTAATTAATCATTCATTTACGCTTTTTATTGTTCAACGGTTTCAAAATCCTTATTAGGTTTATGAGATGTTTTTGCCTTTCTGATGCAGAGTTTGATTCCCTGCGCGAGTGTGGTAGAACGAAATCTACTGGCAGACACCTCCAAAATCGTTGAGAAAAACAACAAAACTTGCAAAAGGAAAGACGATTTGAGGAGAATCGTCACCGACGCTCTCCTCGCCCTCGGCTACAATTCCTCTCTCTGCAAATCCAAATGGGAAAAATCCTCCTCTGTTCCAGCAGGTAACTCTCAAACCGAAAAAATCAAAGATCCAAACACTCCTACGAAGAATTAAACAAATCAATTACCAGAAATTCATTCACTCAATCCTCTCTTCTCTAATCTCTCCAGGCGAATACGAATACATCGACGTGATAATTGCAGGCGAGAGGATACTAATCGACGTCGATTTCCGATCGGAATTCGAAATCGCACGGTCGACGAGCAGTTACAAGGCGATTCTCCAATCTCTGCCGTACATCTTCGTCGGAAAATCCGACCGCCTCCTTCAGATCGTCTCCGTCGCGTCGGAAGCCGCCAGGCAGAGCCTAAAAAAGAAAGGCATGCACATCGCGCCGTGGCGCAAATCCGAGTACATGAAATCCAAATGGCTCAGCCCTCACACCCGCATTACGCAGCCCAAACCGCCTCAAAACGACGCCGTACTTGCAGCCCGACCCGAACCCGAACCCGAACCCGCTCCCATACCCGAAACCCGTGACGATTTAGACTATGAGTTCGAAGGAGAATTAGATCTGATCTTCTGCGACAGTACGACGTTATCGGAGGAAACAAACTCGCCGCCGGCGCCGGCGCTGACGTGGCAGATGCCGGCGGTGAGGCAAAAGAGTTTAGAGCTGGGGAATAAAGCGGTGGTCACCGGATTAGCTTCTCTCCTCAGAGAAAAACTCTGAAAATATATAAAAATCTATAAAAAATGATTTTCCTAAAATAGGTCTGTTTTTCTTTCACTTCCAGAACCTTCTAACTACGAAAATATATATATATATATATTTAAAATAATTAAAAATATATATAAATACTAAATACATATGCGAGTACCCACCAAATTTTGTACTTTTGGAGCACAAACTCTTGTAACAATAATAATAATAATAATAATCCCAAATTCCCAAATCCCATCATCATATATTTTAGCATTAGGAGTTTATAATAATGATAATAATAATGTGAAATGAGTGCAGCTATCGGATGTGCTTCCTGGTGAGGAAACACAAGGCATCTATCTCATAAATTTGAAGTTTGTTGATATGATCGAAGACCTTTTTCTTTAAAAATAAAAAATAAAAAATTATTGGGAAATGTGTCCAAATAGTAATGATGATTATTGGTAAGAAAGAAAGATTGATCGAGGAGAGGAGAGGAGAGCCGTGAAGGGCAGGCAAACGCAATGGCAATTGATCGAATGAAATGAGAGGAGTTTCATTTGAATAACGTGATGGATCGTCCACTCTTCCATTGCCCTGCTTTTGTCCCTGTCAACCCGACCTTCTTTATTTTTTTCTAAGTATATTTTTTTTATTAATTTAATATTTTTAAATAATGTTTCTTCGGTCATTCAAGTATCTGTGTATTCATTTGATCGGACCGCGAGTTTTTAAAAAATAGATAAGAATATAAAATTTTATTTTTTAGAGTAATAAATAGTAAAAATGTGATTTTTTTACTAAAGAAGAAAATTAAAATAAATTTAAATGACAAAAAAAAAGTAATAATAAATTTAGATGACAAAGGGAGTACACTGCTGAGTATAATATTTTTTTCGGTTATTCAAATTTATTTATTTATTTGTAAATATTTTTATTTTTTAACAAAAAAAAATACGCCATTTGTTTCAAAACAATAGAGACATTTGAGATTGACACGAGAATTAAAGAATAATAGTATTATATTGACTGTGGATGTAAAAGTGTTTCTAAAAGGTGGATAGTTAGTTACCAAAAATGAGAATGAGACTATTATTTTGAAACGGACAAAAATTACAAAATAAGATTATTATTTTGGAACGAATAGAATATATTACTATAAATTTTTTTGCAATAAAATAAAATAAAAATTATTAATCATTTTTACTAAAAATTCTTGTTCAAATATTTTAGAACATATTTAGATAAAAGAAGAAGTATATATATATATATATATAGCAGTATGGTGCTGATAACACATAATTATAGCACACACGATGTTACTACTAAAAATATTTTATTTATATTAATATAATAGAACTACAAAACATATTCTAATAATACAAGACATATCACTATATATTGAATACTTTTATAGGTTTAAACCCCAACGCTTCAGGTTACCTGCCACACATGGTTCGTCTATTATGACTTTTTCGTCGGACCTGGTTTGCAGAGTATTAGGTTCGGCTGCGGGTTTACTTAGTGCGTACTTTCGGGTAGCGGCTGCGGATTATCACGTCATAAAAATAAATAAATAAATAAAATATAAATTGATGACTCCTTAACCTTCTCCACACACATGCACAAGGTAAATAATCATTTCAAATCGATAACTATAAATTACAGAGTTTATTTCTTTGTACTTCTGTATTTTATATTTTTGACATAGTAAAATTTTGAATTATATATTTAATGTAATATTTTGAGTAAAATTATATTTTGTATATAATATATTGATATATAATGTGATGTTAAAAAAAAAAAAAAAAAAAACCATAAATTTTATAGATAAATAATAAAAATCAATGGGAGAAGTTACAATCAAACAAACCCTACAAATTCATGTTAAATAATTTAATTTAATATATTATTTCAACTCTCTCTCACACACAAGCACCCATACATGTATATATACATATATATATTAGTTTATTTTATCTTGAAAAATAAGTTAGGTGATGAAATAAATTAAATATATAATAAGTTGTTTTAAATATTGCTTGAAACAAAGAATGGGAGGCTTCAATTCACAAGCAAAGAATAATATTTGGGTTTCTTGTGTTTAGGGTTGAAGTAATCCATTCCTATAATCTTCTTACTCTACACTAATCTTATCTTGATTCCAAACATTGCTTCTTTATTAAATAAGTTTTCTATCAAAATCCCATTTACTAAATTACACTTCTACCCTTAACCAAATCTTCTAACATCAACATAATATATTGACCGCAATTATGGTGCTGATTTGAGAAAATTAATATCGTGCTGATTTTTTCGGACAACATCGATCAAGATTTTAGAAAATACCGATTAAGAGTTTCGATAACACGTACTTTATGACATAAGAACATGTGTTATATTTAAAATGCGTGCTTTCTGGATTCTTGATCAATACTTTTGAACTTTTAATTGATGTTTTATGATATTTTAAATCGGTGTTATTTGAGAAAATCACCTCGTTATCGTGATGTATAGAAGTATGTTATATTACATCCGTCCGACTCTAAGAGACTCATTTATTTTTTGCGTATTGATTTTTAATATTAAATATTATATCAAAACGTAGTACAAATTAAGAAAAAATTGCAAAAATACTTTCATTAGTGTCTTATAATATTAATAGAAGGACATTTGTACAAAAAAATTATACAAATATAATAATATTTTTAATCTTAAGTACAATTACGCAAAAGGTAAATGTGACCCATAGAGATAGACGGAGAGAGTATATTTTTTCTAATTTTTGTGTTGTATTTATATTGTATTAATATAAATAATATTTTTTCCGTCATCGAATTTTATTATCATTTGTCCGGACACGAGTTTTAAGAAAAATGGGTAAAAATAAAAAAATTTCCTTTTGATAGTAAAGAAAAAAAAATAGAGAAAATGGCACATTTACTTAAAAAAAACGAAAATAAATTTAGATAAAAAAAATTAGAATAAATTTGGAGAGAGACTCTATTCTATGCAAAAAGTAGCAAATATTAATATAATATATATCACATATTTTAATAGCACATTATATAATTATATTTGCAAAATATATTTTAATTTTGGCAAATATATTTTGACCTCGACAAGATAGTAATTTGACATAATTTTCAAATATATATAAAGAATGTAACAATATTAATATAATACTCCCCCCGTCCCATAAATATAGTCTTAATTGGGTTGGACACGGTAGTTGATAAAAAGTATGAATAAAAGACGTTTTTGCCCTTGTTAGTGTTTTAGTGTAAAAAGTATTGGAAAATTTGTGTAATAAAAATGAAAAAGTATGAGTAGTTTTATGGTGATATGGTTATTTATGAAAATAAGACTATTGTTGTGAGACGAACAAAAATGCTAAACAAGATTATTGTATTGAGACGGAAGGAGTACTGTATAACAACACAATATGTAATATCAGTTTTGTGATGAAGTGTTAATTGCTTCAAATTAATGTGTTATGTTATTGTTTCGTGACCAATTACTAATTATTTCATGTTGATTAAATAATATTTTTATAGTTACTAAAAATTAAAAATAAAAATCCAAAAATATTTTAAAATATTAGAATAGTTAGGGATGAACACGGTTCGGTTATTTAAAAATATTTAGGTATTTGGTATTTGAACAAAACCGAACAAATACTCAAAACTATGAACTGGAAATAATTTTTTATTAACCGGAAATATTTAGAATATTTACAAATAATTTGAACCGCCCGTATATAAATATAACTAAATTAAAAATTAATTAAATTCTATATAACTAAATTTGTAAATATTTCAAATTGAACTTAATCGAACCAATCGAACCGAACAGATTGAATATAATATAATTATTAATATAAAATTTAAAATATAATTATATAAATATATCCGTGTTCAGTTCGACTAACCAAAAAAATACTAAAAATCGAACTGAATTGAACAAATAAAAAATAGATAGTATTTGTCTTTAAATCGAATTTACAATTAATCAAATTATAATTCCGTTCGATTCATCGATTCGGTTCGGATTTTTTAACCATCCCTAATAATAACACAACCAAACAAATTACAATAATGTTCCATTTCATGCACTCAAACTCTATTATCAAAACTTTGCTTATTTCACTTTGAATCAAATTCATTCCCACACCACAAATTATTTTTAAGGCCCTGTTTGGTCCACCATTTCTATAGAGCATCTTCCATGAATATTTTCATCATGCAATTAAGGATCATCCAATCAGGGCCTTGCCACCTTTACAATAAAATAAATTATATATATATATATATATATTTATATGTGCCACTAATTTGGTTTCCATCATAATTCCAACTAATCAAATGATAAATAAATAAATAGCAAAGAATCTGACAATTAACTAAATAGGGCAGGCTGGTCAGATTAAAGTATCAAATCTAAATAATCCCAATACAAAGGATTTTATTTCATTTTTTATTTAAAAATAAAAATAAAATTGATCTTTCTGCTGCCACATTAGATCACATGATTAAAATATAATAATGCAATTATTCATCAAATCTACAATGCTTCATCATTGGGCAATATAATAATATTTTTAATTATATTATTTTCAGTTTATTAAAATTTTGGGATAGGAATATTGGAATCTGACATTTTTTTAAAAATATAATATTAAATGTGTTAAATCCTTAAAATAAAATAATAATAATAATAATAATAAAGTCAAGTGTGTTTAATTGTAGGTTTGTGAGTTTGTTTTTGAATTTTAATATAAAAAAATTGAATTGAAGATGTTGTTCTGTTAATATAAATAGATATTAGTATAATTTTTAATGTAAAATTATTTTTTAACATAATATAAAGAATAAGTATTTGGTTTTGAAATTTTTTAAGGAGATTTTTTATAAACAATAAAAAAACATAGCAAAAGAATTCACAAGCAAACACAACTTAAAGGTTTGTTCATTTTAATAAAATATTATACTCCTTTCGCCCCAATACAATAGTCTTGTTTACCATTTTTTTCGTTTCAAAACAATAGTCTCATTTTCATAAATAATCATATCATTGTAAAATTATCCTTACTTTTTCATTATTATTACATAATTGACACTATTTAATACAGGGCAAAAAAATC